ATTAAAAATTAAGCGCAGATGTGGCACTTAAGGACATGGATTAATGTTGGACTTGGCAGTGTTGGGTTAACAGTCAGACTTGATAATCCTAAAGGTCTTTTCCAAGAAACAATTCTATGATTCCCAGACATTTAAGCATTGCTTACAAAAATTTTCAGCTATCAAAACAATACAGACTATATCCATCACTAACACTACCACTTCACATATGCTAAAAGCACTTTTGATACAAAAGGGAGAAAAAACTTTGCAACTTTCAGACTCAGAGAAGAAATGTTAGATATGGGCTCTCAAAATCGAGACAAGATGCACACTCAGATGAAAAGTGATTGCAACAGTAAAACATATTCATCCTCCACTCACAAAGCACTGGGAATGCAGTACTAGTAACAGGAGAGACAGAACAACACAATCAAGCCGGAATAAATCTGCATTTAAGCTAAATAATCTACTTACTGCATTTCAAAGAGGCAATTCAGCCAATGCAAACAGAAATTACGCTTTGCTTTCTACTAGATCATAATCTAAAACCAACAGAAACAACCATACACCACTGCAGGCAGCACAGGAAGAACTCAAACCTCTCCTCATTGCTATTTCAAATCTATTCATATAAAACCTAGCAAATTACAAAAGCCTTTTTCATCTAAGGTGACACAACAAATCCACAGCATTCCCCAAGACTGGATTGCTGGAATGCAAGTGTGATTTTGCAGGTAGCCTAGCACACTAACACCTACAAACATTCACAATGTTCCCACTGCTAGCACTTCCCAACACAGCACTAAAACAAGGATTTTCCAGATGGGTAAAGTGATGGCACTGTGATGAAGTCTTTTTTCCATTACTTTTCACAGCATATTCTAGGCAATTCTCTCAGCCCTAAAATAAAATGGAACAGTCTCCAGATTACCACTTTTTCAGTTGTCAGTCCAACATACTGGTTAACCAGTTATGGAAAATCAGATACACGGGGAAAAAAAATTCAAACTCCCAGTAGCTTCAGAATAATCTAAGCTTAAGAATGATATACTTAAAAATACAGTGATTCCCAATGTATTGAAATAGTTAATCACCAGCCTATTTTATTTTTTTCTTCTCCAACTCTCCCCTTTACCACTACCTAAATAAACAAATAAAAACAGAAAAAAAAGAAGGTTTTAGCTTATTCATTCTAACGATTAATTTTTTAACAAAGAACACAAGCTTAAACCCTCAGAACTCATAGAACTTTTCTGGTCAATATGTCAAAATAAAAACAAATTTTACAAAATATTCACCATATTCATAAATTATCCCACTTTTATAATCTTTTATATACAAGTTCCACATTTTCTATAAAATAGAGCTGTCTCTCTTTTCCAGAGCTTTCCAGTAGTTTACTGAAAAGTCTAAACAATTTCATCTTTAATAACTTTTATAATAATGCCTATGAACTCCTCTTTATCTGCTAAATGGATATGGAGCTACCAAACCCAGCCATGAAAAAAAAAATTAACATCAATTATTAAAATGTCATATATCGCATGAGTGTTTTCAAAATATTTTATCATAAATCCAGCATTCCAAGTAAACAGAGCAACTGCAAACATTTTATGTTTATAGCCATGAAAGATGGAGCTGATATCACCTCTTGGATATTATTTAATAAATTAACAGTATTCTCCGAATGGTGCATCCTTAAAATAAACTTTGTAATTTAATGATGACTGGAGCTTGGTTTCATATTTATTCTAAGAACTGGTGAGGTGGTCCAGGAGCACACAGCCACTCATCCATGCTGCACACCCTGGCCAAGGCACACGGACCTTTGCCATCCAACACCCTCCTGTCCGGACATACGGGCTCCCCCCTGGGAATCCAATGACTAAACTGGGATGGGGACCAAGGGCAGGAGAAGAAACCTCTTCCTGGATTTCGCCACTTAATCCTAGATGGCATTTTTTTCATTTCCCTTGCCAGGAGAAGCAGCAGGACAGTTTTGACACAGCGTGGGACTTGCTGTCCCTCAGCACACACGGTGGCTGCACTGCAGAGCCTGCCTGGGTGCTCGTGGCAGCAGAGCTGTGACAGCCCCTGAAGCCACCAGTGGGCTTTTTGTGCCAAGGCAGAAAATATCTCCCCACCCACAGGAGGCATAAAGCTATTTATGCATTATTTGTACTTTCAGGTGGTTTTGTTTTTTTTTTTTTCTTTCAAAGAGTTTTACCCAGGAGAAGGAAGGGTCAAAGATATTTTCTCATCTAAAAATGCTTTACTAAGTCATAGGACGTCATTCTAATAAGTCTAAGGTATATTTATTTACTTGGAAATAAGTTTGCATGTATATTTAATACACATCAACATCTCTGTAACCCTGGGCCTTGTGTCTCTTCAAGAACAAGAGCATTTCACTTTCCATCATCTCACTCAAACACATCATCTCAGTAAAAGGAATACAAATCTCCTTAACAGAACACACACACAATTAGGAAAACACATGGGTGCTCACATACGGCATGTCCAGGGAGGCACCCACAGCATCCACCCCTTTTTTGTTTTCCACACATTCCACTGCTCTGAAACAAGAGGAGTGACAGAAACGAGCAGAGGGTGCAAGGCAGGGTTTAGTGATGAATTTAGGAGAGGCTGGAGCAGCTGCTCATCCACAGCATTAAATAAAATAATAAACAGCACTTGAAGGTGCAGGACCTCTGAAAACAAACCTTGCTCCACAGAGATCCCTCCTGCTCAACTATGCAAAACAAAACACAAAAAACCCCTCCCCAAATAGTCCCTAAATCTCTAGGCAATGCTCTACACTGCTTTCATACACAACCTTGGAATAAACCCAGCTGGAAATCATAGGGAATCCCTGATCAGAGGTGCACCTACTTTCTGTAGAAATCCATGCAAATAAAAAAATAAACTGCCATCTTATAATCCTATAAAATGTTTAAACTGCCTCATATCCTAAAATAGTTCAGGGTTGTGGTTCTTAACCTGCAACCCAGAAAAAAAACATTTACATAATCAGTTTATCAAGGCATAATTTTGAAGATCATTTCCACTAAAATTCAGAATGTTATGTAATTACTGCTTAGAAAAGGACGATATAAATGTTCCTATCAAATGTCCTTTGCATTATTTATTTTAGATATTTAGATTTACTTTAAGAGAAAAACAATAAGCATTCTGGTGTCATAAGCTGACCAGAGATACTGTAAGTGCAGGTGAAATCCTGAGGGACAAATTGCTCAAACCATCTAATGCTGTAATTCACTCATTAGGACAATAACTCAAATATGTGTTTGGTGTCCAAAATGCCATTTTCAGGTTTGACATCAGGGAGAGAGAAGACAAGAGACTAGAGAAGTATTGATGCAAAAAACACTTTTCAACTGCATCTCTCATACCTATTTTTTATTTCAGCAGTTCTTATTGCTTGACTATTTTAGATCTATGCTAAAGGAGTAACCCAGGCCTGGATATATCTTTCTAAGGAAAGAATGAAGAGGAAAAAGATTGAAAGAAGGCATCCCAAATTTTCAAAGGGCCCTTTCTTCTAATCTATCTGCTTGGATAATGCGTTCAGAGTGGCATTTTGTAATGACAGCAACTTTCCAACAAATCAATAGTTATTTAATTCCCAACAAGCTCTCGAGTCCATTAAACCTGATTACATTCACCCATTTCAGTTGGGTGCAGTTATTTTTCCTGCACCGGCACTTAATCTATAACAGGAACTTATGAGAACTTTCAAAAGCAATTTCAACATCAATCAGCATAGAGTGAAAGGCACGATTTGCTTGTAATTATTTATTGGACAGGATGGCAGAGGGTCTGACTGAGCTCCAGTGTCTGACCTTCACCCCCAAATTCTAATGGATACGAAGGCCTGCTGGATGTGTCTCACTGCATAAAAAGCAGCCTCAGCTTGCATGTCCCACAAGACACGGATTCCCAATATCTGATAACGGCTATATTTCTATTTTAGACACGTGTGCCTGATATTAAGCCTGAAGTGAAGAACACAACCCACAGTCCTATTACTGAAGGGACCTAAATGGGAAACCACCTGTTTGATGCTGTGATTGCCCCTCTATGGCAGCAAAGCATTGGGCTACAGGAGCACAATGAAAGTTTCCCTCTCCCTCAGAGCTGACCCATCCCTAGCACAGCACAGAAATGCCCTAACACACGTGTGTGGCACAATATCTAACAACTGCCACTTGGATGGTACAGTTCTGTCAGGGTTTAGAAATGCTGACTTTTCCTAATGCCTTATAGTACTGTAAGCAACAGGATACTTATTGCTTCATTAGCATCTACATGATTTATTCAGAATCCCAAGTCTAACAGAAGACACTTCAGTAGCACCACTTCTTGATAAAAATTAAATAATAACAAAAGCAAACACAACAACCTCATAGCTGGCAGCTGACTCCTAAATGTACAGAACTCTTGCCCTGCAGCAAGAACTTACACTTTGAGGGCTCAAAGGAATTAATAGGATGTGTATAAATATTCTTTGCAGGTGATATATTTCTACACACACAAAACCACAACCCCTTTTTCATTCCGTGTGACGCGTAACGTATGAATTAAAGCATATTTAACATTATTCCTGTTTGCTGTGCTAAAACATTTAACCTAAACACATCATGTTAAGTTACTTTGTCTTCTGACCTGCCGTGGGAATGCTGACTCCCTCAGAAACCTAGAATGGATAGCAAATCCTGTGCCCTGTGGTCAACCTCGTGAAGCAAAGGCATGAATGTTAAACAGCAGACAAATCAATACAAGCAAATATAGCTCAACTACACCATTTATTCAGCCATGAGAGATGTCAATACACAGATTAGGGTGATCCATCTTTTTGATTTCCTACTGTCTTCTCACTGACTACATGAGAGCTTTTGCCTGTATTAAAAGTGTTTGCTTTCTCAACCATAAAAATTCCAATTATTGCTCTAAGTGCACTAGAGTTAAGTTGCTTGTTGGAAGCGGCCTTGCATTACCTGAACAAGTCCAGCGAAGTATGGTGCTGCCGGCAGAATCATTGGCACTCCATAGGGATGTAGCAAAACTCCTTGAGACGACAACATGGTTTAAGTGATAGTATTACTCCCACTAAAGCTAAACACATCAATTGAAAGTTAGGGGAAAATCTATATACCAACTTCTTCCAAACTCAGAGCTAGAACCAAATAACTTCTGTCAGGGGCAAAGCCCACATCAGCTGTAAAAAAAAGAAAAAAATTGACGTCAGCAACACTTAATGTTAAAATTTTCTTCAGAGACAACAGATAGAGACAACAGCTGCAAACCTAACTCTACCCAAAAAGGAAGGTGCTATTTTGGGAGCAGCTTAAGTAACATGACTAGCCAACTACTCTTTATCAGTTCAGATTTTTAAGTACTAAACACATAGAGATCAAATTCTGTACAGATCTACTGATTAGAAATAATTTTTCCTATCAGTTCTGGCATATACATGAAAACAGTTACTATCAGAAGCCATTTTCAAAATAATCAGGTTTATCATGATTGCATAATTAGACATTTCCCTGTATTTATAAGCTGTTAAACAATGTTCACGTGAGCGTTTACACTTCAGTCTGTTACACTGGGTACATTCTGTTTTGATTCATTATATTCTTGTTTGTTTTGAATGTGTGAGCTAACTAATGCAAGCTAATGACTTCTATTAGTGTAAATTATGTTTTAATGGCTTTTCTAACCTTTCACAACATCTATGCTGTTAAATTGATCATAACTATCTTAAAAGAACACATTTTCCCATTAGAATATTTCAACTCTGCTCTCCAAATCAACTCACACTACTGGTCTAAGAGACAAAGGACTGAAATTTAGGCTGGTTTCCTCCCTAAATCAAAACAGATTTGATTTTAAACGTACTACTTACAAGACATTCTCTTCTGCAGCTCATTTTTACTTTAGACAAAACCAACTTAGTCATTAACACCTGTTTTATGTGCTATGTATCTTCTACTGCAGATGTAACTAATGACAAGAATTACAATTGAGCAAGACTTTTTTTATTTCAATAAAGAATTAGGTACTTACAACTTCATGTTACAAGTGAAATAAAAAAAAAATAAAAAATCTCCTACAGTCTTCAGGGTGCTTCACACCACTAATTTCAGCTACTTGATTTTGTTGCATAATTACTTTTCCAGATAACTAATTGCAGACAAGATTTGATGCGATACTCAATTATTTCATGTCACATTTTGGCCATCGCGGAAGGTTTTCGGTAATTGATTCTGGTGTATCACGGCAGCCCTGCTGCAGGATTTAGCAATCTCCCCGAGCAGCTGCCTGCTGGCCCTCCCCACTGCCAGCCTCACCCCACTGCTAACTTTAGATGTGGAATTGTGACCCTCAGTGATGCTCCCTGCAGGAGCTGCCAGTGAGGCCAGCAATTGTCACATGATGAAGTGATGTTTACCCCACTCCATCTCCTGTTTCAGAACCGCTTCACTTTTCTGTTGGGGATGATGCTCTTCTCACTGCTCATCTGACCATGCTTAGCTATAAACCCTACTTCTTGGTCTGTTCTTACCAAGGAAGAGAAACTCTGCAGATTAATTATTAAGCAAGCTGACACATCATTGATTTTTTTCAAAAGATTGTCATTAATTCCAATACAGAATCAGCCACTAACTTTCACAGAGAAATACATAAACAAAAGGTATATATAAGAAAGCAAGTTGCAGCCACACCTCTCTTAAAAATACATAATTCCTAAAATAAAAAAGGTCATTTTGACTATTGCTTATTTGCTTCATCCAGCAGAGTAAGCTGCATTTGAAAGGAAAGCAGATTTCTTTCACCCAGAAATGGAGATTATAAAATGGATTCTGCAAGCTTTACTCAAATGACTCCAGTGGGACAACTGACATAAATACAGACTGTTAAATTGCTCTATAAAATACCTGGCAGGTTTTTTGTTTCAGCATGTATATATTTGATAAGATGTTAGAAAACCTGAGGATAAAGATTCGTACAGGAAAGAGCAGGCTCAAGGGAAGTTTTTCTGTGATCTATTTTGGGATAAATTTTTTTTTAATATTTTCTTTAATTATTTTGGCACAAGGCAACCTGCTGATGAAATTTCCTGATGACACAAAGTTGGAAGGTACTATCGAGGCTGGAGAGGATAAGGATATTGCATAGAAAGAACTGCTAAATCTTATGGGCTGCGTTAATAGAAATGGGATGGATTTCAATAAGACAAAATGCAAGATCATGCTCCTCCTAATAACAGAAACTTCAGAGCTAAACTCAGGAGGAAAAACAAGATCTCATTGCATCTGTTTAAAGAATTTCAGATACTAATGAGATACCAATAGGAAAATGAAAATTAGTACTATTTCTTAATTTTAATTCTCAATTATTTCTTGATTTCTTAGAGGTACTTCCAACAGAATACAGTTGTCTTCATTCACATTAAATAGAAAAAAAAAGGTCAAATTAAAAATACAACCATTGTAGAGAAATTCCTTTTTGGGTTCAGGGGAAAGGAACAACTATGTTGCAGAAACCTAAATTTGATTTGTTTATCCCAGCAAAGCAATCTGTGAATAAGGAAGAAAACAGTAGGAGGAAGAGACTGTTCAAGCTAAGGACGATCCTGACACTTTAAAAATCAAGAAAAACCCAGTTATGAATAAATTTAGGCTGAACATATTTTTTCAAGTTCGGGGGTTCTCTTCGAAGTATTTTGGTCTTGTCTAGAGAGGGTCTAGAACAGCCTTCCAAATCCACAGCAACATAAAAGGGTGGCTCATAACACAATTATTATGCAAAGCGTGGTGGAAGTGTGAACTCAGCAACTTCCAGGAGGACACTTCCAGCCCTTTGCAAGCACTGAAAACATCCCAGAATAATGGAAACATCAAATGTCCTAGGAGAATTGCTGTTTTCTACATTGCAGATAGCAATCTACAAAAACAAACATTTCAGATGAACTGTAGTTACCTGTTTCAATGCAAGGACACTTTGCCTGCCTCACTATAACAACATGCTCCTGACTGTCAGGGTGTGGGGCAGCCCAGATCCAAGCTGGGTCCCGGTGGCTGGGCCCTGTGGTGGTGTCCTGAGCTACCTGAGCTCACACAAACCTCTGTGAATCAAAGCCACAGGAGCACAACAGAGCTTTGCTGCGTCTCTGCCCTGTGCCAAGCTCAGAACTTCGGCCAGTGCCTCTACATCAGCTCCACCACTTCAGACCAACACATTTCTTCTCCCTCCCAGCCACACAAAAATGAAATTTCACTTGAGTTTTACAGTTTGCCTTTAGTTAGTATCAATGGTCACTCCTGTTCTGCTGGAATATGTTGAATACGTGAAATTTGGCCACAAAGAGGACTGAGGGAATGAGCCAGAAGAATATTGATAAAGCTGAGAGCTCTGTTTCACTTCACCAGGACCTTTAGCATGATTAAAGTCAAGCATGGACCTCAACACTTGTGGGAGGACAAAGCCAGAATGGTCGGGACAAGCACATCAAGCACATCTGACGTCCCTGGTGCTGACAGCACCCAATTCCTGCCTGCTGCAGGGTTCCTCCTCCCTGCAAAAAATTAACTCTGTGTGTGGGTGGAAAGGGGAGATCATCTATTTTAAACAACTACACAGCTTTTATTTCCATTACATTCTAGAAAATTATGATGCTGTTAGGAAAAAAAAAAAAAAATGACATGTTAAGCCATTTTCAGTGTGCTCATAGAGGGTATGTTACTCTTCCAAACCCTAGCTGGCTTTGGTTTCTTTCATTAAAAATTTGCATGGATTTTCTGAAACTAAAAATTGATCTCAGCAATGAGAGAGGAAGAAAGAATTAGAAAAACACATGAACACTAGCTTTATATGTAAAACACATACACACAAAATGCACAAGCTTATTTGTTTCAACTATGCAGAGTTTTGCAAAAAGGCAGGTTTTATTAATGAAAAGCTGCTTTTAAAGGTGAAGAGCACAGGTTAAGCAAGGTAGGGTAGGAGTCGAAGGTCAGAAAATTCTTAACTATTTCAGGCCCAGCAATCTAATACCACAATCTTGTGTTTAAGCACGGAACTGAAGCTACTGACAGGAGTGTTCTAATAGCAGTTTCTTTGAAGACTTGCTAAAAAGTTGTTTAAATAGGAAGGAAATGGAGACTGCTGTGCAGTATGGATGAACAGATACAGAAATAAAACTAGAAATATGCCTGAAAACAGGGCTACACATCCAGGCAGAACAAGAAAGAGGAAACCGGAGCAAGAAAGATCAGAGTTTTGATCCCACCTGCATATAAGATGTAAATGGCACATTAGACAATGACTAAACTACTTCCCCAGGCAAAAGCAGATGCCAAAGTTTTGCTATGGTACAAGGTGGGGAAAAAAAAAAAGGAAACTTAAGCAGCTTGCCTGGGGCCACAATGCCTGGAAAAGGCAGATCCCTGCAATGCAGTCATCAGCCAATCAATGATTTATGCTCTAATCAGATTCTCACTGAAGTAATCTATTTAGACCATCTTTCTGCCAAATAATTAATTCTTCTTAATGCCGGTATCTAGATCAAAATACCACAAACTATAGTTCTTTCCAAATGCTGCGCAATTTCAATGAACTTCAAATAATTTCCTCTTCCTTCCTACACTGGCCTAACTTTCCTGTCTCTCAGATCATAAATAATTCAGGTACCACTTTGGCACCTTCTTCAGAACTTATGCTATGTCATATTTGGACCTTTTAAGTTCAAGTCTCCCATTTCTGACTACCTTTCCTATTGTCCAAATACTCTCCATTTTCTCTTTAGATTTCTCAGTGGTTTTTCTGGTACAGGAAACCCCAAAGCTGAAAGGACAAATTGGTTTCTGAGTCTCCTGATAATTTCCCTCACCCACAGCAACTTTAGATTGCTATCTCTAAAAAAGGATTACCAGACACCAGCACCAGACATGCTTGGGAAAAGAACGTGAGCTGCTGCTGATCAGCATTGCCTGAGGTGATCTGGCATTAAAGGAACTATTGATAGGCAGGAAAAGCTGTCCAGCACATCTTCCCCCACCTTCCCAGCACAGCTGCTGACACTGTTATAACTGCTTGTCTTCCCAAGACCATTTCCACCTTTCTGCAAAAGCCATTCAGGGCCAAAGGCTGTTCAAGTGCAGCAGGAGCACCACCCAGGCTCTCCCCTGTCCTCCACATGAAGAATGTGTAGGAGCTGCTCGTGCCAGGTACCGATTCCCCAGCCAGCTCCTCTCACCCTGAACAGCAGAGCCAAAACACAGCACAGATATTTTACTGACTCCTGAAGCAGAAAATGTCACCCATACAAATCAAAGGTATCTCATGGTCTCATACTGATAACCAGCATGGCAGGTGTCATCACAGTTGAGTTTATTAAGCATCTCAGTTCAGACCAAAGAGAATAGGGCAAGGATATAGA